AAACAAATGTATTATTATAAAAACAGTATAAACATTTAGAAGAAAAATGTCACAAATCAACAGAAAATATTTCTATTCATATAAAAATGTAATCAAATATTTTATACAAATAAGCAGTACTTACTGCTTATTTTTATAAAATTTCTCTCAATCGTCTTCCGACTTTTTCGTCCGGAACATAAACGTCTTCGTGAACTACCTATTTTAAAAACAATAAACACACTGGTTTGTCAAAAGTCGGAATAAGCCCTAATAATGTTATTCAACATTATTTATCCTCTTCGTAAGAGTCTTACTTACCTGTTGGCGAGAATCCAGAAGCTACCGACAAGGACAGCCTGTGCTGACGGAGAGAATTACATTTAGCAGAACTTTGAGATTTTTTAAAAAGTTTATACCAAATAGCTGCTTTGTGTTACACTTTATGTTAAAAATAAAAACAGATTCGGAAAGTGGGTCAAATTCTCTAATACCCTATTTCAAAAAAAAAAAAAAATTTACGTTTATTTTAACCAAAAATATTTGAAAAAATTGTTTAAACAATTTATTACTTTACAATCAAATAGTGCACTAGAACTTTTTAAGACCTTTCATATAAAAAAGAATCATCTTAATATCTGCCATAGTTTTTGGGTTATTTGATATAAACTTTTACATTGGAATTTAGCTATGCCCAGAATCGCGAGGATCGGCCTTAAGGCGATTTTCCATTTTATGCACCATCTTTGAAATCTATTCAGTGCTCTCTGCAGATGATTAGCTGCATGATCCGGTTTTTTTCAGCTTACAGCTATTGCTCTATCATCAGCGTAAAAGGCGTCACAATCTTTCGTCCAACATCGCAGCAAATTTAACAAATGCAACTAAAAGTGGGGAAGGACATTGAATTTCATATTAATATTACATTTTAAAAGTTAAAATTTTTTTATTCTTTATTCAAAAATATTTTGTTTTATTTCCAGTTGCACTGATTTACTTTTTTTTAATAATACATTAACAAATATTTTAAAAATCACTTTATTTTTCTGATTTTAATGAAAAGTCGTCTTTTGGTCTGCGAAGATATAATAATCCGTATATGAATTTCGCACCAAAGTAACATCAAAGAATATAAGCGTCTATATTCTTTGGTAACATTCCATATACGTGCTTGGCACCTCGCCGCCTATTGGTTGAAACATGGCCGCGTACTGTAAAGGACCAATAGAAAAGTCCTAGGTGCCAAATACATATACGGAATGTTTACATGCCTACAGTACCGCATACAGTTCTTTTTTGTGTAAAATTTTTATATCCACTTGATAATCTCCTTTTCCATGGAGTATAAAGAAACATCTTGTCAGCATTCAGTTTTTTTTAAGTTACATTTTTTTACTAGTTTTGTCAGTTAAATTTCCTTTAAAATATTTTTATGGCTTACAGAATCCCATTTACTAAAAAAACTAGTTTTTCTTTCATTAACTGTAAGAATATATCTGTTTAGATCTCGCTATTTCATAGGCTCTTCCTTTCCTATCTTTCGTTTTCACTCTCACTTACTGGTAGTACTGAGAATGGGAATATATTATCGACACTTATGTGTGATATAAACGCCAAAAATTATAAGGGCTCAACGTAATCTATAAATGTGTGGAGGAAAGTCAATATATGGAAATGTAAAAGACATTTTGATCTACGGAAATATACCACCGATTTGCTTTATAAGCAAAAAATCAAACACAATAAGCGACTCGTTATTATTATTTATTATTTGGCGATAGGAGAAGGATAAAAACTATAAATAAAAATTTGAGAGATTTACAAATCTGTATGATATTTGATTGAGGAAAAAACAGTTGTAAGTATATTTTGCCATTTACAAATCTGTATGATATTTGATTAAGGAAAAAACAGTTGTAAGTATATTTTGCCAGTATGTTACCAAGCCCATTTTTCCTTATCTTCAAACATTAATGCAATACTTGTTTTTGTGTAGTTAAAAATATTACACATTTCAACGTAATGAAAAGATAATAAATATATTTCTCGAATGAACAAATTTTCGTAATTTCGTCAATCAAAAATAAATTACTTAAGAATCAAACAGCAAAGTTGTTTATTGAAAAGTATATCAACAATTGTGTAATTAATAATATTACTATTAATAGGTGACAGTTACAGAACACATATACCTAAATTGAACATAATAATGGTTTTAAATGTTCAATTTTAATATTTGTTTTCTCTATGTTACGAGAAAATGTAGCTTAACATGTTTTTAAATAAATTTGAACAATGATAATAATCAAAACCTTTGACCTTTTAGTTTAGAAAAATTAGAAACTCTTGTTTTACTGGACTTATTTTTTACAGTTTTTAACTTTTTTCAATTTGTGAAGTATTTTTATGGAGTATTTTACCTGTACAATTATTTTAATGGGAACAAAAAAGGGCGCATTTGATTATCACTGGCAATTAGGAATTAGACAAGGCGAAAAGCTCGAGTTCGTTCAGAAAAATATTGTCATGAGAGTTTTTTCATAATCACAATTATGAAATACCCCAAAATAAGATTCAAGAGGTAGCCCAGGCTATAAGTTGTTCAAAAACAGACAAAATATCTCTGCGGATCGTGTAAGAAGTTTGTAGTTTGAAGTACAAATATAGTTTCTAGTGTATAATTATAAAAATTCCTTTTTTGCATTTGCAGAAAATATGTTTTTGGAATTGATTTATCAATTCCAAAGAACTATCATAAGTTTTATAAATCTTTCAAAATGCCGATAGCAATAGAAGAGACAATTTGCCGGAGCCAAATCAAAGTGAGGATTCAGACGAAAATTAAATTATTCTAAAATATAATTTAAATGTTTTTCTATATTATTATTTCTATCTTTGTAGTTTTCAATATTTAAAAGTACTTTTATTCCACTTTTACCATTATAAATATTGATATAATTTCACGTATATGCATTTTATTACAAAATCTACAATGCCACAATCACGAATGTAACTTTTTTCGAAAATTGATGGATGTTTTCGTAAATCCATGATAATATTTCTCAAATATAACTATAACATCTGTTAATAAAAATACACAAAAAAAATGTCACATCAAGTCCTGAATTTTGGCAACCAATTGAAAGTTTTAGCAGTCAGTTATCCGCTAGCGCTCACTTTACCCATTCGTGAGTGTGGCATTGCAAGGATGATATGTATCCTGTAATATTATGTGTATATTTCATGGACGTATAATCATGGACGTATAAACATAGATAGACACAGCAATAAAATACCTTTAACACACAATGTTTTGAAGCTTCGATAGAATGATATGCTTCCGCAATGAGCATAAGCGTGCTTGAATTATACTCGCGGGTAATTATTCAGATTTTAAAAATTGGAAGTAGTAATAATGTATAAAAACACGTTCAAAGAATTTAAAAAAAAAACGAGAGTTTAACTATTAACAAATAACGTCTTTATAGAAAAATTAAAATACAATTTTATTTGCTTTAAAATTATTACAATTAAATATAGTTGAATTCAAGTTAATTTTTTAATAGTATCAAAATAATGCTACAATAAAAAATCTTTATGTTTACTCCTTAATTTGCTACCCAAATAGTTCGATCGTCAATATTTTTTGGAAACCTACAGAGAAAAATAAATGAGTTTTATTCATTTCACTAATTTATTTGTATCCATGAGAAATATTAAATTAAAAAGGTACTAAACAGATCTTTTTTAATCAGATGATCTCTACTTACAATTTATAAATGTCTACTAATTTCATGAACTCATATCTGATTCAATGCATTAATGAACATGAATAAACCCAATGGTACGCCTATTAAAATGTAAACAAACACGCTTCCTCATTTCCTCATCTTAAATAATGTAAATTGTATGTACTTACAAATGAAATGAGAGATCGGGATGTAAATATTTTGTTTATTTTATTTCACTTTTCACAAATATCACTCAAAATACAGCAAAAATATCGAAAAATAACTTTTTCCTCTTTTACTGTAAAAAGTAAACAAACATGGAACAGCATTTGAAGTTTGACGTAGATCCATAAGACAGAGAAATGTAAACAACCGTTGCCATTTATAAATAGTTTTCAGTACTTCTACATATAAAATAATTGATTGATATCTATTATACGCTATTATTTAATGATAATGCATACTATGTGCACACTTGATATTTTGATTACAATTAAATATATTAATATAACCAATAAATTATTATTTTGGTTTGATAGCACCTGTAGAGTATAAAATACGGAGTAATATTTTCAGCGACTCGCGAATAAGAAATTTTAAACAAAACGTGACAACAGTTGAAGGTGCTCAGAATGTGACTTATTCAAATAATTTTGACTTCACAATTTTATGTAAATAACTGAGTCCATCTGTGATTATACGTCCATGGTATATTTCTTTAACAAAAAAGTGTAAAACTGAAAACCTTGGCTAATTTTTGGCACACATAGAATGTATGGTATAAGATCGGTGCCTGGAATCGACGTCACATCCCCTAATTATTGGGGTCCCCCGCATTTGCACACAAAAATAAATAAACAACGTACATGTAGGTTAAATACTAATCATGGTTTTTCCACAGTAGCCTTTATGTATTATAAAGAGACGTCATAAATTAGAACAGATGCGTAAATAATCAGTAAATGGTTTTGTTACTTGGTAATAAGAAAGATAGTCGGAGGTGCTGTAAACCTCAAAAAAATTGTTCTCTAATTGTTCCACTATTGGTCATTTCCACAAATCAAGAGAGAAACTAAACAGGCACCTAAATGTCTTTCTTTGACATGGGATAGATTAACTTTTCCTATGTGGTACTAACTCCGAATCAGAGAATAAAATTTTAACACACAGTAAAAACACAACGTTAAAATTCTACTCTAGAGTAAAAATTTAACGCCATGATTTTACTGTAGAGTAAAAATTTAATAAAAAAATTCTAAATTTATAAAAATGAATAAACAATTTTTTTAGGAATTTGTTATGGAATGCAGATGATGAACAAAGAATTTGGAGGCACAGTCATTAGAAAAGAAACAAGAGAAGATGGAATTTATAATATCGAAGTTAATTCAAAATGTTTGTTGTTCAAGTAAGTATTGTAAGTATTTTTCGAAATCATTTCAAAGAGATCATGATGAAAAAGAAAAGGGAAATCGAAACTTTGTGTGATATATTATATCATTTTAATACCTAAAAGTTAAAAATCAACAAAATATTAGATTATAGTACGAGTGTATCCATGTAGGGAGTTCTCTATTCGCAAAGGAATACAGAACTATGTTCTGTATGAACAGAACGATGTTCACACATCACCATTCATTTTCATAAATCGATTTTAAACATGTGCAAAAAATTAATATAAAAGTATATGTACTGTTACCTTATACGCAGGTAATACGTTTCACACATTAACGCGGTTACATGAAACCACGTTTAATAATGAATACTAAGCACAATGCGTTAATGGAATACCTACCTGCTGACAGTTATCATATTTTTGAAAATTAAGGCAATTATATCGAGCACAAGTTTAATTAAATCTTGCTCAAGTACTTTCGCTTAATATAGCATCTTCAGGGGCATTTCGTCAAATAATGCCCCTGAAGATACTATATTAAGCGAAAGTACTTGGTCAAGATTTAATTAAACTTGTGCTCGATATAATTGCCTTAATTTTCAAAGTTCATTTATTCGAGCATTCAACCTCATATCAATTAGTTATCATATTGTATATAGATATATAAATTTCACTTGCGTGAAGAACTGGAGAAAACTGTGAGAACGCATTCGGAAGAAAATACATGCATATGCACTATCTCTCCTCGCCTTATTGGTACACAATGTATATTGCTTCTCGCTGCATAAAAACAATTAAATTTTTTCTCTTCTAATTCTGATTTGAAACACAAGTTAATAATTTGAAAACTCATATCAATCACAATAACAGCGCTTCCAACACAGACAAAAACAAAAAAACATTATATTTTGTTGCAAACTGTACAAGTGTAGTATTAAATTAGTAAAGGACTTAATGAGATAAATAAGTAATAAAAAATAAAATTATCAAAAATATTATATCACAATGAATATTTGTTTTCAATAGAAAACTTGAGCACACATATTGGATACAATGCGCGTCTTGTTTCAAAACATTTCGTTATACTTAAAGTCAACTTTGTAGAGTCAGCAATGTTGCATGAACATACTTGGCCTAGTAGCGCGGTGATGTTTAATGCAACATTGATGGTATAAACAGAAAACAGAAAAATCGGGTCACTCACTCAATAATAGTGTTTCTTAGTTGATCCGTACTCGTAATAAAACAGACGTAATGTCAATTACGCGGAGACAACGACATCACCATGTGGTAAAGATGTAAGAACACATTATAGGTATATTTAGACTCTCCGCACCCCAAAGATGAGAACTTGAGATAGCAGGAAAATGGCTTATAGGTCAGAATGCCTACCACAGATTTAGTTGACCCATTGTTTCACCATACAAGCACCTCGATTTCAGCGATGATGAAATAATAATTCTGTTGCTGTCCACTGCGCATCGGAGGTGGAGCCTAATATCAAAAAGACAGTTTCAAGCTATATTTGACAAGTAGTACATATACACATTATTTTGATTGTGTATTTACTATTACGTAACGTTATCCATTATCCATATTACTACTAACATTATCGTTATAATGATGGTCAAATTGCAATTGATGTCAGTTTTTTCTACATTTTTAAAAGTTATTTATATTACTGTACAGGAGTATAAATATGTATAGTGCTATGCTATAATCTATAGTTTGCAATTAAAAAAAAAAGATTACGTGCATGATAAAAATTAAAAGCTAAAACTAAGAAAAAAACTAGTCAAAATCCTCCTATGAAAGAAGAAATATCTCAGTTTTCGAAAAATTAGTGTATTTTACAGCTTTCTTATGTATACCATGTTTATGAGATAGACTCCTCAATGGTTGACATTTATTTTCTGCTTGAATAAATATTATGATAGGAGGTTTTTTTTTAGTTCATTTCACTTGTTAAAGAGGATGCATGGTATTCGTGCCTTTTCTTTGCTGTTTTTAAGATCCATTCGGGTTCTTTTAAATCAATTTCTTCTCTTTCTTCCTTCTCGTCTGCCTCGGAAGATGACTTAATTATTTCTTATAAATAATCATTTCTTAACATTTGCTTACGTTTTCCTATATGCCGCTCCACTTTTGAATTATTGAAATAACCAATACATCGCTCTCAATATTTCTTGTTGATTTAATGACCACTCTGACATCTTCATCGATCCTTGGTAAGTTATTTATATCATCTGCAGATTTCTTGCGCAAATTCTTCCAACAGGCACTGACAGTCTCAGATTTCAATTCATTCAACGCCATTTTAATATAAATTATCGCATCAGCACTGTTGAACAATTTCCGGCATTAAATGACGTCAATATCGTAATAATTTCATTGGCGCTTGGCAAAATGCATTGGAGTAGCTCGTATCTGCCTTGATTTCTCTTTATATTTCCCAAGTACTCCGGCTTACGGCTCTTCACAATGTTGACCAAATCCGCGGTTGTGTTCATCCTCCGCAGTACTTCTTCATTGGTAATTTTGTCTGTCCATGGTATCTTCAGCATTCTTCTGTATAACCATAATTCAAACGCCTGAAGTTTTGATAGAGTTTCCGCCTTCAATGTCCACGTTTCTACTCCATACAGAAGCACTGAGTACACGTAACATTTAAGGAGCCTTATTTTTGTTTTCAGGGTGAGGTTATGGCTTTTGAACACAGAGCTCATAGCAAAGAATGCACTTTTGGCCTTTCCGATGCGACATTTAATCTCTTGGGTATTGTCCCACGACTCATTGATTATAGTTCCCAAGTAATTGTATTGTGAGACACGTTCAATTCGCATTTTATTCACATACAAATTTGCTCCAGTTATGTTTTGCTTGCTGATGATCATTAGCTTGGTTTTGCTGGTGTTTATATCCAGTCCATAGGTTCTACTTGTTTCTGTTATTTTGTTCATTAAGTTTTGCAGCCCTTCTATGGTATTATAAAACACTATTGTATCATCTGCATACCGCAGGTTATTAAGCTTGACTCCATTTATTGAGATGCCTTCATCAATATCTTTTAGGGCCTCTTCAAAAATGTGCTCCGAGTACAGATTGAATATCATTGGTGAAATTATGCACCCCTGTCGTACTCCTCTTAAGATTTTGACCTGTTCTGTATATTCTCCATCTATTCGGATTACCGCTGATTGATTCCAATACAGATTAGCTATAATTTTTAAGTCTCTTCCATCAATCCCTGTCCTCTTTAGCACTTCCATCATTTGTTCATGCCTGACTCTATCGAAAGCCTTCTTGTAGTCAATCAGGCATGCAAAAACATTACAGCTGACATCTCTACATTTTTGAAACAAGATCTGCACGCTAAATAAAGCTTCCCTCGTACCAACGGCGTTCACAAATCCAAATTTATTGGGCGCAATTTGTTCCTTGCATTTCCGGTAAATTCTTTTGTGGATTACCTTTAAAATCAGCTCCAGCAGATGGCTCATTAGGCTTATTGTCCTATAATCTTCACAAACTTTTGCTCCTGGTTTTTTGGGCAATGATACGAACTCCGATTTGAGCCACTCTGTCGGTATTTTTCCTGCCTTGTATATTTCATTAAATATATCAGTTATTATTTTTATTTGTTCTGTATCTAATAGTTTCAGCAGTTCTGCAGGAATTTCGTCAAGTCCCGGTGTCTTTCCATCCTTCATTTGTCTGATGGCTGCTGTTATTTCTTCTGGTATGATTTCGGGACCTGAATTTTCTTCAACGGTGGGCTCTTGTACTGTTCTAAGGTCATGGAAAAGTTTCCCCAAGTATTCTTCCCAAACTTTTTTTTTATCTTCTTTGGTTATGGCAAGATTGCCTTCATTATCTGTTATTTTTCCGCTGTTGCGGTTTCGAAACTTTCCAGCTATTTCCTTCATCTTTCGATGAACATTTAAGTTATCATATCGACTCTGATACTCTTCTATTTCTTGGCATTGTTCTGTTTTTTGTTTCTCTTTGGCTTCTCTAATCTAATGACAGCCTGGTCAATTTGCCTGAAGTATCGTAGTTGTTTTTTGTGGCATGAATAGCTGCATTGCTACACAATATCAAAGTAGTCGACCTTTCCATAATTTAAACCCAGGAACTAGCAGTTTCTTGCCTTTTTCTAAACGTAGATTCTGTTGAACAATTTCTTCTGACACACGCTTATCTCGACAGTTAAAAACTTGCTTAGGTTGGGATTCCGTATCCGCAGTAATTTTTTTAAACTCAGTTGGAACTAACTTCGTAGCTTCCCAATCGGCGAATGCAGCTTCTAATATACTTTTAATGATTTTTAAGATGTATCTATTCCGAGAAATCCTTACTGGAATCAGACAGCATATCTCAGAGTTGAAGGTGAACACACTGACTATGTGAAAATCATGCGTGGAGTGAGGTAAGGCTGTATTTTGTCTCCTCTAATCTTCAATCTGTACTTTGAAAGACTGTCCAGAAAAATAGACAGTAATCGAAGGACAGGCAGGAGAAGACACTCGTGGCTCCAAAATCTGCGGAAGTGGTTCGGACTCACATCGGTCGAACTATTCAGAAGCGCCGCAAACAAGATCAGAATTGCCATGTTAATAGCTAATGTTCGCAACGGACAGGGCACTTGAAGAAGAAGAAGTACTCTGAAAGAATATTTATCGAAGCTTTGCACGAAACTGAAAAAGATATTCTACTAATTTGTTACCGACTAAACAACATCAGATATGCAGATGACACCATAGTATTTGCGGACAACAACAGTAGAAGACCTACAAGTTCTTATGAACAAAATCACGTATTATAGTCAACAATATGGACTCAATATAAACGTTAAAAAGACAGAGCTTATGATAATTAGCAAGAAAAGGATATCAGAAGGTCAATTCTACGTCAACCAATTCCCTGTAGAAAGAGTGACGCACTACAACTACCTCAGCACCATAATAAATGAAGAATGGACCAACAACAAGGAGATTAAAGCACGCATCGGAAAAGCTAGATCCACCTTCAATCGGATAGGGGCTTTCTTCAAGAATCACAACCTCTCTCTTGATACAAAAGTAAGAATGCTGCGATGCTCTGTCCTTTATTATGGTGTTGAATCGTGAACCTTGAACGAAGATATATGCAGAAAACTGGAAGCATTTGAGATGTGGCTATATCGGAGAATACTTAAGATCCCGTGGACTGACCGAGTCACAAATGAGGAGGTCCTCAGAAGAATGAATAAGAACCGAGAGGTACTGACCACCATTAAATCTCGAAAGTTACAATTCTCCGCACTGCTGCAGATAAGATAAAGATTGCCATGATGATCGCCAACATTCGTAATGGATAGGAACATCAAGAAAAATATCTATTCCGAAACATATGAAAGGTTGGTTACAGTAAAAAAGTGGTCTTATCTTCTGTATTGTCTTATTCTTGAAAATCTATGTACATTTTATTTATCCTATGGCATTTGAGAATAAGAATTAAAAACCACGACGCTTAAGTTGAACTGGGCAGGGCACTTAGCCAGAACACAAGATGGACGGTGGACAAGACGTATTATGGAATGGAGGCCCAGAAACTATAAAAGAAGCCGAGGAAGGTGTAGCGAGAAACTGGCTACAAGCGGCCCAGTGTAGAGAACACTGAAAAGAACTGAGGGAGGCCTATGTCCAGCAGTGGACGCGATTGGCTGATTGATGATGGCACTTGACACAATTACATTTTTTACATATATTTTGTATAAAACATAATGCATATGTTTACAAACGAACATCTAACTTATTTATTGTAGTCTATCTATTTGACCTGCCATGATAAAATCTTTTGGGACACTGTTTTGTGATGTGACAGATGGTTTGTGGTTGTCCACAGTCACAGAGTAGGGATGGTCCTTTACCCCATTTGTGCATCATGTAACCGCATCTGCCGTGTTGAGTTCTGATTCGGTTCAGCATAGGCTATGTGTTGCGTGGTAAGTCAAACCCTGGTGGTTTTTGTGTGATGCAGGGTAAGTTGTTATTTTGTTGTTCCACCCATTCTAGAGTCCAACTGATCGTTAAGTTGAACTCATTTTCCGCAGCAGTCTGTGCTGTTTTTATTGGCGGTCGTCTGGAGCGTAGACGGTTACATTTGGCAGTATCTATATCTTGGTGGATTGGCAGATTCTCGTTACTAAGTATCTTTCTGTACTCACTAGTGAAGAAGTGTATGCGCCGTAGTTTGGGTGGTGGAATGTGGCTCAGTACTGGGGGCCATTACGTAGGGGTGGATTTGATAACGCCAGCAATAATTCTCATTGTATTGTTCCATTGGCATCTACTTTGTGTATATGTAGGCTGTTAAGCCATGGATAAATTCGTGTCACCCCCAATTATGAAAATTGGCAGGACATTGGTCTTCCTCGTCTTTCGGCATACGACCAAGCGACTCCACTGCCCCTACGAGTCCGACACCTACTAAGGCGGCACGATGCCGAAACACCGTGGGGCTCCACCTTACCCGTAGTACCTGTGTTGCGAGTACGTCACCCGTCCGGAGATCCCCCTCCCCCTCGGGCGGAAAGATGACGCAGGCGGAGGAATTCCACCTCGCACGTAGACAGGTCACCGCCGAGGAATCACTCCTCTACCACTCTTAAATCTTTCCAGGTAGGTACGTTCCGGGGCACCGACACCACGCTCGGTGGTTTAAGGCCGTGGGAGGTATTTACGTGCCCAGCTCGTTTAACCTCACCTGGCTCTTGTGGAATGAGAGTAGAGTGGTCCCACGAGATGCTCGTCTCGGATACTAGGAGTGTAGATCGGTGACCGAGGTGACTATGCATCTCGAGTGCGTTTCTACAGACCCGACACCTCAAACGACGGCTCTCCACCTATCATTACCTACCCATAAGTCGCTTCTTACGACAGGCAGGATCTTCTGGCCTCGGCCGTATTCTTATCTCCGCGAGCCGAACGGAGGGCTGTTAAGCCAAGCTGAAGAGCAATATTCCGCGGTTGAGAAGACAAGGCCCAGGTCAGATGATCGCAAGCTGGAAGCCGATGCTCCCCATCTTGTGCCGCACAGCTTCTGGATGATATTGTTTCTGGATTTAAGTTTTTCCGCTGTTTTTGACAGATGTTTCTTGAAAAATAGGGTTCTGTCAAAAGTCACCCCAATGTACTTTGGTGTTTTATTGTAGGCGAGTGTGGTGTTTTCGAATTGGATGTTGAGTGTTCTTCCTGCAAGCTTGTTATTTAGGTGAAAACTGGAAACCTCTGTTTTGGTAGCGTTTGGTTGGAGCATCCATTTACGGAAATACTTTTTCACTATGTGATAGTCCGTCGTGAGGATTTCTTCTGTTTCTTTAAACGAGTTACACCTTTTTGCAATAACCCATTCATCGGCGTAACCAAACTTCCTTGATCTGGTTCCTGTTATATCAGCTTTGTACCGTAGACTGTACCATAGGCCGCTATTATGTCTATGATTGCGGCTGCAGTTTTAAGTTTTCTCTGGAACCCTGCCCCAATAAATGTGGTAAGTGAAAGAACCTAATCTGAGCAGCTTCTCTTCGGTCTGAAACCTGCCTGATCAACCGGTATTGATTCAAGTAGCTTTGGACTAATTCAGTACAAAGTGCAATGGACGTACTAATTTAACAGTTTTTGCTGTAACATTTCTATCAGTAGATACTCTGGTGCTATTAATATCTTCCAGATATTCAAGAGTTTTCAAATTTCCCTACTGTTTTAGGAGTCATTAAAACATTCAAGGTTTATTACACCAGACGATCATTTGCACATCTCCATGAAGTTATAAGAATAAACGACAAGCTCTTTGTTAAAGACTTTTGGAAATAATTCAATATTAAATGGCGTCTGTAAAAAACTATGTCCTTATTTTTTCATCACTGACACTGAAATGGAATTGATGCCAGAACATGATGAAGTTAGTACTGTTATTAAAGAAGTTGTTAATATCTCCCAGCAAATAAATTTAGAAGTTGATGGTGGTGACGTTGAAGGACTGTTGAATTCCCACAATCAGGAGCTGACAATAGATGACCTCATAGAAATGCACGAGGAAGAATTAGAGAAGAAGACATTAAAGAGCTTGAGTGTTTGTATCCAGTTCAATCTGAGAATTAAATGACGATTGGAAACTTGACTGAAAGGCTAAGTTTAATTAAAAAGGAATTAAAAATTTAGAAAATATAGACCACAACTAGGAGCACATTTCTTCTACCGAACAAGAGATAAAAAATTATTAGCCTGCTATGAAGAAATTTTGCGGGAGAAAAAAATCTTTGAGTCGTCAAACTACTTGTTAGATTTTATAAAAATCATGCTTCCTTTTCACTTAACGGTCATGCTAATCGGCGAAATTGCCGTTACTGGGCCACGGAAAATCCTCACTGGATGAGAGAAGAACACACTCAATACCCTCAAAAGGTTAATGTTTGGACAGGGATTGTAGGAAACAATCTCATTGGTCCCTTTTTCATTGAGGGCAACTTGAATGGCAACAATCTTTTGGCACTACTTCAAAATGATGTCATTCCAACGTTGACAAAATTTATATCCTGATCCAGGAAACCCTCAAGTTCCAGCGAATACGATATGGTTTCAGCAAGATGGAGCACCACCACATTACCAACTTAATGTCCGGCAGTACCTAGATTCAATATTTCCCAATCGGTGGATAGGGAGGCGAGGATCGATTGAATGGCCAGCGCGATCACCTGATCTTACATTATTAGATTTCTTTTTATGGAGCTATGTGAAGAGCCACGTGTACAAAACTAAACCTTCTGATTTAAATGACTTAAAAGAACGAATAACGCTTGCGATTAAGTCGAACACGCCTGTTATGTTAAATAATGTTAGAAGACAGTTTTATTTGAGATTAGGATTTTGCCAAGACGTTCGCGGTGAACATTTTGAACATCTACTTCATTAACATTCATAGTTCTTTTTCGTGTTCTACATTTTATTACGTTTTGCATTACATTTTAGTTTTTGATTGTATTGTAGCGAATTTCGGTAACCACGTGATTTTAATTTATTTTATCTTAATTAATCTTAATAAACTTGAAAGCGACAACATTTTTGAATGGAGAATGAAAGACCTTTCAAACGATATATCACAAGCGTATACTTTCTATTTTAAAAATTGGGGGTTGTACCTGTCATTCTAAGGGGGTTGAAGGAAGGGGTTGCATTTTCACATTAAAGAATGTCAACTTATAATTTAAATTTGACGTGTTTCGGGATTTTTTATAAATATGTACAGTAACCTAAATAATGAATTTATTCCATTTGGCTTTTACACACTGTATGTAATAATTATTATAATCCTAGTTGGAGTATATTTCCACTTGGATTTAGATTTCCGAATTGTTTTATATTTGCCATTAGACCATTTTTCTCATGTATTTATATTATTTACAGGTAATTAATTAATACGTTTTTAAATTTAGGAGTCTCGAAAAAATTCAGCCTGTACTACTAACTCATGGAGATGCAATAGATAAAATAGCTGAGAATTTTAAACCGATTGCACAAAGTTCGTCGTTTTGTGCCGGCATCTGCAACGAAAAGCTCCAATTGTATGGCGTTCAATTTCACCCGGAAGTAGATCTAACTGCCAATGGTAAAACGATGTTAAAAAATTTTCTGTTCGATATCGCCGGTTTGACCGGAAACTATACGATGGATGGCCGTGAATCAGAGTGTGTGAGATACATAAAGGATACTGTAGGTAAGTCAAATAATAATTGATTATTAAAAAAATGGCCATTACCGTCTAATTCAAATAGACTGTCGGAAAATTCGTAGACTAGATACATATTACTATTGGTATTTTAACTGACCAGTGACGTTTCGAAAAAAAAAAATGTTATCGTTAACTATTATAAAATATTGTTTTTACTTAAATTTACGTGATTGTGACTCACCATTCGCTAACCCGTGTTTCTCTGGGTACCCGTTATCAGAAAAACTTGTAAGAATACTCAAACCAAATCAAAACGCACCGATTGGTATGGCAATTATAGGTAAAATAATTACCAGAGTATGCGATTAAATGGGTACAAAAATGATGATAATTTATATGGGTAGTGAAATGCATAACATTATAACGTTTATCTAACTTCAATCCAACCAACAATATTACCGATTCTACATTTCTTCCAACAAACTTTCAGGGTAAATCAAACTTTAAATCCCAACATATCGATGGTTGCTACTGTTATAATTAATCGAATTTTAACATATTTAATTATACACAATGTTGGCTGTAGTCACATTTAGAAACATACTACCGGTTACATTGGCTGCTTTGTTCAGACTTCCGCCTTAATATGTGATTTTAATTATAATTGTAATCAACAAATCCTCACAGACACTTGTGACACTCACAGCAACCGCAGTGGAGTCCTACGTTACCATGTAACTACACTAGTGTACAATTATTAACCTCATTATGAAGTTTTAAAAAATTTTGTTTTTTGGTGAATTGGATGACGCATTACAAATAAATAATGCAGCACGTAGAGAGGGGTCGAATTCTGACTCGACTTAACGCGTTCGGTACATAGTACGCATCAATTTCCATAACAACTCACTAATACATCAGTCACTTAAGTTCGCAACTGCATTACAAATGGATACCACATCCGTCAACGCAACTCAAGCAGTAGCATTATTGAGAGAAGGCCTGAGCCTGAGGGCCGTGGCAAATCGAGTAAATTTAAGCCAATCTGTTGTCTCCCGAGTGTATCGACGGTACCAAGATATCCAAGGTACCCTCCGTTGACAAGGAGGAGACCGTAAACGAATAACAACGAAGCGAGATGATCGATTTCTTGTATCGAAATCCCTGAGAAATCGACATTTTAGTGGTGCTAAACTCAAAGAAGAGTTTAGAGATGTCCGATGTGTGGTGACCAGCGTTTAGACAGTCAGAAGGAAACTAAAGGCAGCCAACCTGACACCAAAAAGGGCAGCTATGGGTCCCAAGCTAACTGCACCCAGAAGCAAAGGCGATTAGAATTTGCTCGCGAACATTTGGATTGGGAAGACTATCAAAGGAGTCAGACATTATTCTCCAATGAAAGTAGGATCTGCCTACATGGCAATGACAAGATGCATCGAGTCTATGGAAGACCAGGAGAGCGATTTGCTTAATTTTGTATACATGAAATTGTGTCATGAAGGCAGTTCTTGTATGTTTTGGGCAGGCAGTTTTATGGATGGGGAAACCGAGTTGATTTTTGTTCCTGGTGGAGGACGTGGAGGAGGTTTAACGGCAGATCGTAACGTCAGAGACATTTTTTAGGAATATGTGGTTTCATACGCGGGATTTATTGGTGATGCTTTTATTTAAATGCCCGATGCTTATTGCACGAGACACCACCACCTATCTATCTGAGATCGGTATACCTACAATAAATTGGCCTGCATTAAACCCGGACGTAAATTAAATAGAGCATGTTTGGGATGAGCTTAAACGAAGGGTTCGGGACAGATATTATGCACAATTGAGCATAATGGAATTAAGAGCTGCGCTTAATGATGAATGGGAAGCAATGCCTCAAGAATTTATTACAAAAGTGATCTGATCCATGCGAAATCGATTGGAAAGTGTAATTAGGAGTAGGGGTGGTAATATAACTGCTAACTCTAATAACTGACATCAAAGTGAAGCTCAAAAAAGTCCAAGAAAGCCCCAAAACATCAAAATTAAATATCTCAATATCCAACAAAACGTTAAGAGAAAATGACAAACAATGAGCTAAAGAAACCAATAAATGAAAACAACACAGAAATATGGAACACATTTAAATATCTTACCTTGAAAGTAATAGAAAAATATTCAACAACGTTACACAGGCACAAAAAACAACAATGGATGACTGATGAAATCCTGGAATTAATGGAGCAGAGAAGGAAACTGAAAGGTAACAAGACAGAATATAAGGAAAAACAGAAACTAATTAAACAAAAAATAAAGGTGGCTAAAGAAAAATGGATGGAGGATAAATGCAAGGAAGTAGAGGAGTTGAATGAAAAACATGATACGTTTAATATGTTAAAAAACGTTAGAGAAGTAGCTGGTCTTTAGTAGAAAAATGATAATAGACGAACATGAAATTCGAACAACCTGGTGTAATTATATAAGTGAACTGTATAATGATGATAGACCCGAAGAACTGGAGACTTTAGTTGAAGGTGAAGGACCAGAGATACTAAAATCAGAAATACTGTGTGCTATAAAGTTAACAAAGAACAAGAAAGCCGTTGGCCCTGATAACATACCGACAGAGATGTTAAAGCTTATAAATGAGGAGAACATTGGAATACTGGTCAAGCTTTTTAATGATGTTTATTCATGGACGTATGTCCATGTGTTTATTCGACTGGTGATATTCCTGAAGATTGGTTAAAGTCCAAATTCATAACACTACCAAAAAAACAACGTCCGAAAAACTGTTGCGATTATAGAATAATAAGCCTTATGAGCCCCACTTTGAAAATATTTATACGCATCATTCACAGTAGAATCAGAAATGGACTGGGAACTTTGCACTAAATGTATTACTGCAGAAATGTCGAGATCAAAGAAAAGACGTGTTTGCTGTATTTATTGACTATGAAAAGGCCTTTGATCGAGTACAGCATCACAAATTAATTACATTATTAAAAGATAAAAGAGTTGATAGTCAAGACATACGATTCATAGAAAAGTTATACTGGCGTCAAACAGCGACAGCTTGCATAAACGGAAAATCAACAGAAATATGTAAAATACAAAGAGGTGTCAGACAGGGTTGTATACTATCCCCACTGTTATTTAATTTATATTTAGATAGAATATTTAAAGAAGCGCTGCATAATTTGGAATGGGGCGTGAAAGTTAATGGAATTCTGATAAATACAATCAGATATGCAGACGATACAGTTATTTTAAGTGATGACCTGAATGAACTACAATGCCTTTTAAATGCCATTGATACAGTGGGAAGAGAGTTTGGCCTAAACATAAACTGTTCAAAAACAAAACACATGGAGTTTAGCCGGTTAGCACATCAAAATGCACGATGATATGTTGATTGTCATATAATTCAAAGAGTGTCCGGTTTTATTTATCTTGGTTACCATATTACTGAACAACTAGATCCAGATCAAGAGATGAAATGTAGAATCAAGATAGCCCGCACGGCATTTTTAAAAATGAGGTCATTCTTCTGTAATGATAACTTGCAACTTCAACTTCGAAAGCGCATGGTTAAATGCTACATTTGGTCAGTCCTCTTATACGGTGTCGAAGCATGGACAATAAAAATATCCACCATTAATCGTCTGGAAGCCTTTGAAATGTGGCTGCACAGACGTATACTAAAAATTCCATGGACGGCTATACTGACAAATGTGGCAGTCCTTGAGAGAGCAAATGCTGCTCGCGAGCTGCTTGATTACATCAAATGTAGAAAGATGGCCTATTTTGAACACGTAGTAAGAGGAGACCGATATAATATTCTTCAACTTATTATGATGGGTAAAATCGAAGGACGCAGAGGAATTGGTAGAAAGCAGACCTCTTGGTTGAAGAATATCAGGGAGTGGACAGGAATAAGGAAAGCTGAGCAACTCTTTAGAATAGCTCGAGACAGAGACAGTTTCGCCATGTTAATCGCCAACGTCAAGGGGACTTGATAGGGCACGTTAAGAAGAAGAAGGTGGTAATATCAAATACTGAATAATTAAGAAATTCATGTTGTAATTGATGATTTCTCTGTTCATAACGTCTTTCTTGAGTTAGTTCCAATGATGAATATTTAGGAAACTTTGTATTGTATATGTTTTTATAATGCGTCTTCCAAATAATGCAATAGCAGTTTTTGTAAGTTCAATAATAAAGTTATAGTTTGCACATTAAATTTTTTAATTTTCATACTTCTTACATTGAAACAGAAGGTGTAATCTCAAATATCGCTTTTGAGTTAGTTGCTTTTGCACTCGAGTGTATTTCCGCATCCTAGTTTTTTAACATCAAAGATGTAATCTAAAATGAATCCAAATACATATAAAGGGTTTTTAACAATATATTTAGCAGCTTCAGACATGTAAATCCACATTTAATAACTTTGGTCAAAATTTTAACTTTCACATTTGCCATAATTAAAGTGGTAATACTTATTTTATGATAGCATTGATGATGGAATAGTTATTTCGAAAACGTTCTATAATGTATTCCGATAGGGTTTTTTATATTAATATACCTTTTGTAAAGGAATTTTTTTTTAATAAAAAAATATATTCTATGTTACAGGTAACAATAAAGTACTGTTATTGCTTAGCGGAGGAGTTGATAGTACCGTGTGCGCCGCTTTATTGCACAAAGCCTTAAATCCCGCTCAGATTATAGCTATACACATAGATAATGGTTTTATGCGGAAAAATGAAAGTAGCAAAGTTCATAACTCCTTACTTAAAATAGGACTCGATGTAAAAGTAAGTAAAATAATTGATCTCATACATTTATAATTTCATGGTTATTACATAGAGTGATTTATTACTGAGTAATTAACTTATATATATATATATATATATATATATATATATATATATATATATATATATATATATATATATATATATATGTATATATATATATATATATATATATATATATATGTATATATATACATATGTATATATATATATATATATATATATATATATATATATATATATATATATATATATATTTGTTCAGATAATCTCATAATACGAATTTTAATGAAGAATTTTAAATTAGTATTACATTGGTAGTACAATGTGAAACATATTTAAGAATAAATAAAACACAAAGATATCTGACTCAAACAAAATACGGATTTTGATTTTAAACACAATAACTTATTGTACAATTTGAACGTAAATGATTTTTTTGGCTTTAATAGCGTTTATTTCCCCCATGTGTCATAACATCTGCAGTCTTTTGTCTTCTCATACTTTTGATAAGGCTATCGATTAGTTATTGAGGCAACTATTTTTATTGGGAATAAGCCACAATTTAAGTTTAAAATAAATTTATTGACGTTTCAATTTGCACTCCTTAAATCGTTCTCGATATTCCCAATAGAAATAGTAATTGCTTTAAGATGCCACAAGAAAATAGCTTTAGAACAATGTTATTGAAGCAGTATCTCCCATTCCTCAATCAAAGCAATTCTTACTTCATCTTTTGTGAATAGCAGGAACGCGTGTCCCAAGTTTTCTACCTAGCATGTCCCACACATACTCTATCGGGTTTAGGTCTGGGAAACATGCTGGACAATTCATTGTTGTTATTCGCGATAGCCAATTCAGACAGGAGGCGCTGAAGATTTCAAAGATTGACGATAACTTCGGGAAAACAAATAATTTTGTCATTTGATCTCTAAGCTATAAAACGTATAATTCATAAATCATTTACTCGTATGGTTTGCCAAAGTAAAAGTTGGAGTACGTTCTTCAAAGTTTATTTGTTTGTGATTCGAGTTTATACATAAGGTAATTGACTCCCAAACCTGAATAAAAATAAAATTAAATGTTTGTTTTTCTACAGTAAACACGGGAAGTAAAATTTACATTATCTTAATTATTTATGTGGTTGCCAGACCGGCAGAGATCTTTAGTTGAGGGTGAGGCAGTTTTTGGAGCTGGCCACGTTAAATTTAGTAAATTACGCCTTACGATTTCTACTAATAACTTCATGAGACCGTTGGGGCAATTTAGCTGATGGAACAGCATTTTTCTTCAGTCTTCTTAATTTAGTTTCAGGTGTTACTATAAAGTAAATTAAGTATAAATATATTAAAATATAAATAATATTTTAATCAACACTTGGATTGGAAAGTAATCGTTCTCAGTAAAATGTAAACTGCACACAGTCACGTACTTGGTTATATGTGTGCCAATTCACAAAATGCATTGCCAAACTTTTCTCATATTCTCGTCCAGCGGAAACTTATTGTATGGAATTTTTTTGTGAATTATAATAGGATAAACATTGAGGAACACTGCAATAATTTTTTGAAGTCGAAGTCATTGTTAATAACAATATAAACCGGTCGCTAATATGTATACAAAATAATGACAATTTCAAGGTTTTCCCGAACTGGATGCTTTTGAAATCTACCACCAGGCGTCGCCCACTTTGCGGTTCCTCGCGAATTCCCACTTGTAATAAGAAGTCTCTCACATATAGCGTGTGACGTGTGGACGCGCATTATCCTGCATTAAAATAAAATTTTCTCCAATGTATGCTGCAAAACCTAACCTTTCTCTACGGTCGATGCAATTTACACAGAAACGACTCTCTTCCGTAAAGAGAAATTGACTCCATTGGTTATTATTCAAATTTTGATGTTTTCGATCAAATTGTAGTCGCGCTACACGGTGGTGTCTCTGGAGTCTGGGAGCTGTTAATGACACATATGACTTGAGACCGGCTCTTTAAGTCTGCTTCTTACTGTGCGCTCACTTATGGTGATTCCACGAACATGGTAGGTTTTTAGTTTGATCTTCTATTTGACGTCTATTTCGTAATGTTTGCAACGTAATAATCGATCATCTACAGCCGTGGTTAAACATTTGCCCCCTTCTTCTTATGTACTCATCGGTTTGTCTCCAACGAGTTACACAACGGTTGATGGTGATTTACCAAACATTAAAATCAACTCAAAAGAAAAATCACTTCCAACAAACTCAAACAAATTAACTTATCAATTAAATACAAGTTTGTACTTGTTATCAACAGATAATACGTCTTTAAAATGTAAAACACAACACAAATATACAAATTAATTTGACGTTTTAAAACTTTATTGTGGCGAGGATTATTCAAAACTATCTAGACATAGTCTATAAAATAGAAATAGAAATAAATACATTGCATTAATAACCTATTCCTTTAAATTTGCCGGTGTGTGTATTATGTTAAAAGTAAATTTAGATATAGATACAGATAAGATGTCAGTAGTCGAGTTATTTCAGTATAGATTCGTCAAAATATGTGATACGTGAATATCGAAACACTTCCAAATCAACGCCTTCTTCCGGTATCCACCAAATCAAGAGAGGTAAATAGTCTCGCAACTTGGATAACTCTTTGAATCATATGGTCTCACAATGCACGTTAATTCTCCAACAAGAATCTCAAAAACATCATCCTCGACAATTGATTATGTGGTTTCCGATTTTCCACCCGCTGACGTCCATTCTACAGTTATTAGTGGGGGGCTTTCTGATCATGAAGCGGTATATACCAAGAAGTACAGAAAATGCTATATAAAACTACTCAAAGTAGCCAAAAAATCCTACTTTCATAATCGCTTAACAAGCTCCAAAAATATTTCAAAAGAAACTTGGTCAATAATAAACGATTTTCGAAATAAAACCAGTACAGCGAATCAAACCTTTTCTTTTCCTAACCCCGAAAATCTAAATGATTACTTTGTTAATGTGAGTAAAAATATAACCTCAACTATTTCGCCACAACAAGATCCAGTTTCCTATTTCTCTAATTCAAAGAACATTGCTGATACCTTCTTTTTAAGACCAGTTGATAAGACGGAACTCATTTCAACAATTCGTAGTATAAAAAGCACATCGTCCTGCAGTACAGATGGATTATCTATTAAAATTTTCTCAAATCTACCGCATAATGTTTTGGAGGTCATGGTCTCGCTAGTAAATGATTCCCTTGAAAAGGGTACATTCCCTAACTGCCTAAAGACTGCCATCGTCATTCTTCTTCATAAAGGTGGAGAAAAATCTGATGCCTGCAACTATAGACCTATTGCCTTGTTACCAGCACCATCAAAAATTATTGAAAGACTTATAAAAGTTCGACTTATGCCCTTTCTCCTTAAATATAATATTTTATCACAAAATCAGTTCGACTTTTTGTCTAATAAATGCACTAGTGATGCCATATTTTCTGTGTTACATGATGTATATCTATCACTAAACAGTAACCTCTCCTCCGCCACAGTTTTCTGCGACTATTCCAAAGCCTTTGACTGCGTAAATCACGACATTCTATTAAAAAAATTAACTTTCTATGGAATTCGGGGTGTGTCTTTGAACTGGTTCAAAACTTACTTGGTAGGTAGGAAACAATTGGTTAGAATAAATGACACCGACTCTAGTTGTAAAGATATTGAGTGTGGAGTACCGCAAGGTTCAGTATTAGGTCCCATTCTTTTTTTACTTTTCATTAATGACATCACTTACTTGAAAATTAAAGGGAAAATTTTTCTATTTGCTGATGATACCAGTATTACTTGAAGCAGCTCTGATATTTCAACGCTTCATTCAATTATAACCGCTGATTTACTTATAATCAAGGCTTGGTCAGACTCCAACTTACTTAGCTTTAACGTGGATAAGACTGTAGCATTATCTTATAAAGGAGTCATGCAACCCTTGCTTTTGAATGAGAGCCAAATCAATATCGTAAATTCCGTGAAATTTCTAGGTATTCTCATTGACAGTGATCTCAAATGGTCCTTGCATACTGACTCCTTAAGGAAGAAACTAGCCTCAGCTTGCTTTGCAATAAGATCTGTTTCGAAGGAACTAAATTTATCTTCTGCCAAAATGGCATATTTCTCATTGTTTGAGTCCCATCTTCGATATGGGCTTCCATTTTGGGGTTCTAGTACACCGGCCCAATTTGATACTATTTTTAAGTTACAAAAAAGAGCAATCCGACATCTATTTGGTCTCAAACAAACAACTCATTGCAAGACCTACTTCAAAAATCACGGAATTTTGACGCTTCCCTATTTATTTATTTTGGAAACGGTTTGTTTGATTCGAAAGCATCTAAACATTTTTCCCGATAGACCAGACCATGGCTACTCCATTAGAAATTCGGATTGTAACGTTTATTTGCCGATCCCGTCCACTCAGCTAGTAAAAAATTCTATTCTATATCGTGCAAAGGAACTTTATAATCACCTTCCAAGAGAAATTAAATCCGCAACATCCTTCATTAAGTTTCGTAAGGTGACAAAAATCTATCTCTCAGAAAGACCATATTATTCAGTTGACGAGTTTCTTAATGTATAACAAAGAAACAAAATTAGTATTGTTTATAATTACATTTGGGTGTCTCAAGCAGTGGCTACAATTTGTCTCATTTGTTGTTGTCTGTACAAATTATGTAGGTTATACAATAATTTTACTAATTTAAAATTGTGTTATTCTCTTTTTTACTATATTTGTTTTTGTTTTATACTTTTTGTACCATTTGACTGATTTATTTTTTAGCTTTGTCCATAAAATTGTTCAATAATTTTCAGTGACAATAAAGCATATTTCTATTCTATTCTATTCTAACTGTCCTCTCTCCGAAGTTGTTTTCGTTAAGTTATCTAAGTCTAACTTCACCAAAAATCATCTTTTAACATATGTTTTTATAGTCATTACCACTAAGCCGATCATCCTTTTTAGGTAATCAAAGCAGCTTCAACTTTTATGGAAGGTACAACGATAATCCCAGTGGACAAACAAGAAAGTAGTAGAACAATGATAACGAAAATGCTGTGCCACACGACGAATCCCGAAGAAAAACGAAAAATTATCGGCGACATTTTCGTCAAAATCGCCGACGAAATAGTCGCCGATCTTAATCTCAAAGCTGATGAGGTTTTCTTAGCTCAAGGTACTCTAAGGCCGGATCTAATAGAATCAGCTTCTAAGCTAGTTTCATCGAAGGCGGATACGATAAAGACACATCACAATGATTCCGAACTTATTAGAAAACTTAGAAACGAAGGTAACAAATACATTACATTTATTTATTTATTACATTTTATATATTTTAATGCAAACATTTAAAGAAAAGGAATTTTGTGTTTTCATTTCTAAACTTGTATTTTGTAGGAAGAGTGGTAGAACCTCTTAAAGATTTCCATAAAGACGAAGTTAGATCCATCGGTAGGGATTTGGGTTTACCTCCCGAGATAGTAATGAGACATCCTTTTCCCGGTCCTGGTTTAGCTATAAGGGTTTTATGCGCGGATGAACCATACATGGAAAACGATTTCTCAGAAACTCAAGTTTTAGTGAAAATTATAGTTGAATTTCATCAAATGTTGCAGAAGAGACACGCACTATTAAATAGAGTAGAAGGATTTATTAGCGACGAAGAAAGGTAATACCATGCTTTTTAATTCGGTAGTTGTAATCATTTAGAAAATTAGGCAAGCAGAAATTCGTTATTCCTCAGATAACTCAAATTTTTTAAACTTTATTTGACTTCTTTGTTCTCACTTATTCCTTACATGAAATTACTTACTGAAAGCTTTAATCTGCAAGATCGTACGAAACAAACGGTACCAGTTTATAAGCTGTAGCCTTATTTGATTTACAGCAGCTGGTATTTGTGTCCTGACATTCGTATGATTCAGACGCTAAAATTATTTGTGTTACGGGTAACAATAATGAATTTAAAAAAAGTACTTTCTAGTTGAGAAATAAACACGAAAATATTTGTCGTGAGTAGTTATTATGTATATTTATCGGTTTTGTACTGTGTGTGGAGAAAAAAGCAGTGGATATGAAATACCACGCATTTAGTGAAGGCCGTCTGCAGACGGTCTTGTCGCTTAGTTGCAAAATTTGTCTACTCTTTTCTTATTATTACGCGTATTTTTGTTCTTTATTGTACCTACTAAACGTGGTTATTATTTTAAATTTTTAATAACACTTTAGGGTGATGAGATGATAACTGAATGCATGCAAAACATAGATTCAACCGATACATTTGTAAAGGCTACGAACTTATCACTAAATATCAGTAGTACTTCACTCAGTTCAACCGATGCTACTCAAAAAGCATAAACCAGAATCATCATTTTGCCTAACTCCCCAGAGATAGGTATTACAGAAAACGTTGTTATCAGGTTATCGCAGACAGTGCCATGTGAATTATGTCATTTACTTTGATAACTTCTACACCTCATTATCTCTAATGGTTTACTTGAGAGACCATGGCATTTTTGCTCTTGGTACCGTTAGAAGCAATCGAATTCCTGAAAATTACCAGAAGATACTGATAAGGAATTGCTGAAAAAAAAGCAAGAGGTTATTCTGTCGAATATTGCGGATCAGCTCAGGGTGTGGATCTGAACACAGTTTTGCGGAAAGACACCGAAAATGTTAGACTTTGTTCGACATATGTGGTGTAAAACCTTTCTTGAAAACCCAATCAGCTACTCAGCCGGCTAAGATAGCTGGTTATGATAAGAAAACAAGCAAGTACATCGAGTTTGGATGTCCACAGATCATTCAAGAATACAACTATCAAATGGGAGGTGTAGATCTCATGGATTCATATATGGGTAGCATTCGAGAATACAACTATCAAATGGGAGGTGTAGATCTCCTGGATTCATATATGGGTAGAAATGGATTTCGTATCAAAACAATAGACATGGCCACCAGATTTTTTTACCATCTACTAGACATGGTGATTGCCAATACATTCGTTCATTATTGATGTCGAGAAAAATCGAAATGTCTCCGATGAAGGTGAGAGACAAAAAACGTGACGATGCAACAATTTCGAGTGAAAATGTTTAAAAAGCTGTGTACTACTACTGAAAAACGTTCTGTTGGATGACCATCGTCCGTTCCACAGCCATCTAGTAGTTCTGCCGTCGGTAGACCAGCTGTTCGTTAGGTTTATGGTGTAAAATACTACGGATTGAATAATTGGCCTGAACGGGGATCAGAAAAGTCGTTCAAACTGTATATAAAGTCTGACACTTATTCCTTTTGCACCAAGTGCAACCTTCATTTGTGTAACACGAAAGGTAAAAGTTGCTTTATACAGTATCACGCCAAACCTTTTTGTTTATTTACTTGTAATTTTTTTTTAATAAAAATAATATTTTTGTACAACTAATTAATTATAGTGTTTTTATAAATTTTTCTTTTGAACTACAAGACCATCTGCAGACCGTCTACCATTTATTGAGTTCACATCCAAATTCTCATACCCAAATTACCCTATCAAAATTCCTGAAACTTAAAACCTGCGATTTCTATCTTGCCGATTAAAGGGTTAATATTTAGTTTTATTATTTTATTTTAAAAGAACTTGGTACAAAAAAATATGAATACGAAAAGGATAAGTATAAAATGATGTTTTGACACTTTGAATTTTTTTTTTCTGACATAGACTTTCGTCATTCAGCCACTCTCGAAAGGTTATACTATATTCCTTGAGAAAGTATATACACATAAGTACAGATTATTTTCCTCAGACAAATGCACAATACACTTTGAATTAGAAAAGTAATTAAAATCTATATGGGCTATTTACACAAAAAATACAGTTATTTTGACAGACTAAAAGTGTCTGGAAATTACGATACAATCAAGCACACGTGATCATAGCCAATAATAATTATTTGTAAAAACACATTTATTCACATGCGATTTATAAACAAAATAAAACTGCGTAGATTAAAACAATAAATCAAAGGTTTGATGTTTACATTTTTGAAATTGTATAATCGTTTATATATGAGGCGGTGAAGGGAAAAGTGGTGCAAGTCACTTCTTTGCTAGTGATAAGTCTTCCATTTGCTCACAGATAGCAGCACAAACTTGACAGTCAAACAAAATCTCTGTTGTAGTAGAGGAAATAGTGGTGCAAGTCAGATTTACACCACTATTCCGTCATTCCTATGACAGCTGTTTAGTATTTTGTAGTTGTGATTTTTCAATACAATGGATGACAACAGTATGAGGAGCAGGTACCTTCTGATTCTCAACAAAAAAGTATTGGTAAGTTAAACTTGTGTATTATATTTATTTGTATAAAATAAAAACTAACCTCAAAATGTTGAATTCTCTATACTAACAATAAATAAACTCGTATAAATAGAACAACGTTTTTGAGTATTATTTTAATAAAGTTGGTTTGTTTCAGACAGTGAATCAAATGAGTCCCTCCGCAAGACCATAAAAGCGAAAGTAATAGAGAAGTAGAAGTTCAACAACCCAAGAGAGCACGAAAACGGCAGAGGCATGAAAATAAAAAAGTAAAAATAAAGCGACTTTGCAACTCAGGTTGTGAGTATAAGACAACAAAAGGAAAAGTAGTGCCAGGTAAAACTTTTTCAAACAACTGTTTTTGCAATAAAAAATGAAAATATGTCATGTGAAGACACAAATAAAGCATTTGATCCATTCTGGAAATTGAAATCATTTACAGCACAGAATGCTTTTATTTGTGGTTTGATCAAACAAAAGAAACCTGAAGTAAAACGTCATAGGAATCAGTCACGACCTGGTAAGACACTAACCAATATTTCATTCAAAAACAAGGCGAAACCACGAAAGTATGGAAAAAATATTTTCTTGGAACCTTTTAGATATCTGATGGCCGAATGTCACGGGCCATTAATAAGATAAAACAAGGGGAACCACCTGGTTCAGATAATCGAGGCCATGGCATACCAACTAATAAAATATTTGAAGAACGTATAAACTGTGTCCGGAAACATTCAAAATTTTCCATCTTACCAATCGCAATACACAATGAATAAGAATCCCAATCGTAGGTATCTATCTTCTGACCTTAATGTTACCCTGCTGTATCGTTTGTACAGTCAGTATTGTCAGGAACAAGTTACTGTCCCCGTTTCGTGATATTTATCGCCGTACATTCAATAATGAGTACAACCTTCATTTTCATGTACCACAAAAAGATACGTGCTCTAAGTGTGATGCTTACAAGTTAAAAAAAGCTGCAACAACAGATGCTAATGAGATCAAACAGATTGAAGTTGAGCACGAACTCCATCTTAGGAAGGCCGAGCTTGTACGTATTTCTATGAAAAAGATACAGAAAAGGCTCAGACTGACGATTCTTACTATGCATTCACTTTTGACCTAGAGAAAACCCTACCTTTTCCAAAAATTAACCACATCTATCGCATACTATAAACGTAATATGTACATTTACAATTTGGGCTGCCATGAGCTATCATCTGGCTTAGGCTACATGTATGGATGGGATGAAACGACAGCTTCGAAAGGATCTCAGGAAATCAGTACCTGTGTCACAAAGTACATAGAATTATGTGCAGCAAATTCAAAGCATGTTGTATTGTACAGTGACAGCTGCACCGGCCAAAATAGAAACTGGAATTTTGCCTTGGCCTTGTTACGGTTAGTTCAAAGTGAAAACAATAGTATCGAAATAATTGATCACAAGTTTATAGTAAGCGGACACTCTTACTTACCAAACGACTCCGACTTTGGTTCAATTGAAACTCACTCTAAAGGCAAACTGATTTATGTGTTTGAAGATTTTAGTCATAGTTCGGTGTAGAAAGAAAAAAGCTTTCATTTTCACAAAAATGCTTAGAGAAGACTTTAAAGATCTGAAAAATCTCACTAAATCAATTTCAACAAGAAAAACCAATACGGATAACCAACCAGTATCATGGTTAAAAATGAAGTGGATTAGAGTCAAAAAAGATGAGCCATTTTCACTGTTTTATAAAGAAACATTAAATGAAGATTTTTCCTTTTCACAAATTAATATCCTTCGAAGCAAGCAGAAGGGAAGACCAACATTGTTGAAAAATCTTTAACTGGATTGCCTGTACACAGCATCTCGACCAGTAATGCGAGCTAAAAACCGGGATATGTGTGATTTACTACCATACATTCCTCCAGTCCACCATTCTTATTTTAGAAATCTTATATCATCTAATGAAGTCAATGACGAAGCTGGACCACTTCCTGATGTAGAAGAAAACAATGACAAATAAACTAGTGAATTTATATTTGATTTTCTAATATAAAAAAAATAAACATATTTTGCTTTCTTTACATTCTCTTTACTCTTAAAGGAAAAGTGATGTAAGTCATTTCACCCCTTAAAAACTACCCTTAACATAGTTTTATTTTTACAAAAATGTTAATAGAGTTGAACATGTTCTTAGTAAATAAAAAATATCACAAGCATGTTTATAAATGTTCTATAGATTTAATTACAATGTTTCTAGTAAAACCTTTTATATCTCAAAATGATGCTCAGATGACTTACACCACTTTTCCTTTCACCGCCCCATATGTGTATTTGTTGTACTCAATATCCGAATTCGGCCATCGACCGAAATTTATACCCACAACACGTTCGTTTATTTCTCACATCGCGTTTTGGGTATTTTTGATGTGCACAGAACACTTTGTGGATACAATGCGAAGATCCACAATGCGAAACTACGAAGACCGTCGGACACACACGACGATTTTTCGCGTTATGGGCAATAAATTTATTGATCGTATGGCACTTGACACATTCACATTTCAATTTATGGGCAATACAAATACCCACAAAGCGAAACTTCTAATTTTATTTAAAAAATGCAGTTAAAAATAAGTTTTAAACACAAAAAGTTTTCTAGCCAAATTTCTTCATTTATTTTTGTATGTCAGCCATCCATGACACTTTGAATTACATAATTCGTTCCTTTATTTACGAGAACATTTATTGTCGCCTCAAAACCTTTTACAGTTTCATCTGAGAAATTCTTGACCAGAACGTTTGGATGACATATTTGCTGCGGTTCTCAGGGGTATTTTCTTACTACTGATATCATTTGATTCAAACATGAATTGCGAATCGGTTTGAAGGAGTAATAATCTATCCAGTGGTCCAATCTCAGTACTGAGTTTGTACAAGCCATCATTATTAATTTCAGAAACAATTGCTAATACGTTTCTTGGAGTTAACCGACCTCTATCAACACCCGGAACTCGAATCAAAACATTAATCCCTTTTTTAATGGAGCAAATCTTTTATTTGACTCACATATCATCTTTGATACATGATCTCTCATTATTCTATGTAATTCTTCTCTCTCATTCAATATTCTTTTACTTCTTTGCGTTAACTGATCATTGAAATTTCTGTCAACTTTGTCTTGTATATTAGGTGCGTCTTCATGATTTTTAATCAGGTTATTATGATACAGGATTTCTAAAGATTTATTCATATATTTGTCTTGATTCTGTAAATTCTCTTGACAGGGTTCTACACTGTTGATTTCTTCTCCATTTTTTAATTAATCATCATCATGTTCGTTTTCCATATAATTCTTCCAAGTGTTCTTCATTTTGTAGTTTATCAAGGACTTCTTTCGAAAGGTCTGCATCTTCTAAACCATTTGTTTGCAAACCATATGAAAAGATCTGTTTTTCTTGGACTGTATAAATCTCAACCCTTCCAACCAGTTTGTATTATTATTATCGTTACCCAGGTAATCAACATATCCCGGACATCTTGATTGGCCCCCTCTACAGAGCCTTGACTTTATAAGTGTCTTGGTCGACCGTGAACCACTTTCAGACCAGGCCACATAGTACTTAGTTCTACAATAACCGAGTTAGCAAACTTACGGTCGTTATCACTTAGCAAGATATATGGAGCACCTACTAGACCAAAAATATCAACCAAGTGGTCAGCCACTTCAAGTGCTGTTTTGGTTTTCAATGGTCTCAAAAACAAAAATTTAGTCAAGTGATCATGGTAGTTTAAAATAAAGCTATATGGACCATCGGGCTCTGTTTTCATATCTATCAGGTCAACCTACAATATGATTAATATTATTTTTTCATATCTAAAAATTATTCTTCTTAAGGTGCCTTCTCCATTACTGAAGGTTGGCTATAACTACAGCAAATTGCTCTCTATCTTGAGCTATTCTTAGTATCGAATGTGTGTCCATGCCTGTCCAGTCTCTTACATTCTTCAACCAGGAGCATTTTCTTCTTCCTGGACCTCTTCTTCCTTCCACTTTCCCTTCCGTTATAAGTCGTAGGAAGCTGTATTTTTCTCCTCTGTAAATATGTCCTAGATAACTCGTTTTTTCTGTTTTTTACAATATTTAGGAGTTCTCTCTCAGTACCCATTCTTCTTATCAACCTCGTTGTTGGTCACGTGCTCTGTCCAAGAGATCTTCAGCATCCTTCGAAAAACCTACATCTCAAATGCTTCTATACTCCCCATACTTGCAATTTCGAGAGTCCATATTTCCACTCCGTATAGCAATATGGAATAAATAAACGTTTTTACAAATTGGTATCAGATATCCAACGATAACGTAGAGTTTATTAGTAATTTTTTCATTCGTTGAAATGCGGTCCTAGCATATTCTATACGAGCACGTATTTCGACCTCGTGGTCAAGATCGTTTGTTATCCAGCAACCAAGATACTGGAATCTTTGTACTGGTTCTATATGTTTGTTATAGATACGAATATTAATGTCGACATTTGGTGCATGTGTATCAGCCATTACCTTTGTTTTATTTGTGTTTATATTTAGTCTCAAGCTATCTCCTTCTCTGGTTATGGCATTCAAAAGTCGTTGTAAACCCTCAGCACTATCCGCAATAATGACGGTGTCGTCTGCGTATCTTAAGTTGTTTACGTATTCTCCGTTGATTTTTATTCCTTCTTTAATATTTTCGAGGGTATTTTGAAAGATCTTTTCGGAATATATATTAAATAACAGTGGAGAAAGTACACAGCCCTGACGAACTCCTCTTTTTATTGTCAATTCTGCTGTTATTGTCTATATGTCTATTTTGATCGACGCCATTTGATCCCAATATAGTTTTTTAATAAGTGCTACAGTGTTATGGTCTATACCGTGTTGTGTTAGGGTTTCTATGAGTTCTGTGTGTTTTACTCGATCGAACGCTTTTTCGTAGTCGATAAAACAGAGAAACACGTCTTTTTGCTGATCTAGGCATTTTTGTAGTAATATCTGGAGGCCAAATAATGCCTTCCTTGTACCAAGCCCCATACGAAATCCAAATTGATTGTCGCTCAGGTTTCTTTCGCATTCTCTGTATATACGTTGATGTACAATTTTGAGTAAAATTTTCAGAAAATGACTCATCAGGCTAATTAATCTGAACTGTGAGCATCTATTTGCTTTATTTTTCTTGGGTATAGGTATAAATGTCGATCTAAGCTAGTTTTCTGAGAAGATTCCAGTGGTATATATTTTGTTAAATAATAGTGTTAACGTCTGAAGATTTTCTTGATTGATAAGCTTTGTCATATCAACGTATATTTCATCTGGACCTGAGGCTTTTCGTGGCTTTGTCGTATTGATTAAAAATTATTAGCTCTTTATAATTACCTGAAATCTACAGTTCATATATTTAGAAATTATATGCTTTACAACGAAGCCTGTCTTTGGAATTTTTGTCTTCAACTGGCATAACTTACATTTACTAAGGTACAAGTTTATAATTTCTCGGGTTATATTGGCGTATTTTTTCATTGCTCCGTTCCTATAAACAATAAAAAATGTTTAAAAACTTTTTGACAAGAACTTACCAGAGAGAGAGAGAGAGAGAGAGAGAACATAAAAACCGCACATGCAATAGAGTAACATTGCTTAATTTTCAGTTATGATGCAATTGAATTTTCTGCGTAAATAATAATAACATTTTTCATATAAAAAAGCTTGCACGTCATTCAAGATTTACGTCGTCAGAACCCCACAGCGTTGTCAATACATCAGAATAGTTAGTGAGGAATTTTTAAAATGTCAACTATTTGTCAAACTATTATATTAACAGTAAATACACTTAGTTTTAAGACTACTGCAACACATTAAAATACATAAGAAAACATTTTAATACAAAATTATATATTATAAATTTTAAACTTACCTCTTTTAGGGTTTTAATAACAAAAACGTCCCGCCATTATTTCTTGTTCAAAATAATCTTATATGAAAGCTTATCAGCTTTCTACAGACTTTTATTTGTTTTGGCATATCACAATCACAATACACAACAATAATTAGTTTTTAAAGCTATTAATCTAAATTTAAAATGTATTTATAAATACAATTTATTAATATATATTATATTACGATCAAATTGTGTAAGACATTAAAACATAAACAAAATTTCTACTTTAAAAAAGCGACAACACTTTATACACTTTTGCCACCCGATGAACTGTCAATAATATTTGATATATTTCCGTATCAATTGCGTATAATTGTCATATATTTAATTAAAATTATTATTTTCTGGAATATTAGACTTCAAGAGTTATTTCATAAAATTTATGTTATTATTAATAATAGCAGAGTTAGCGCTAGACTCCAACACAGATCAGAGGTAATGTAAGTCAATAAAACTTCACCAACTACAGGGGGTCATATAAGATGCCCCCAGTTTCATTTTTTATATTACACAAGTCAAGAGTCTATTGCATTTACCTGAATAAATAACACGAAGAATATTATTTTTTAAATCCAGATGTCAACCGAATGTTTTTTTATGTGGCCACACAATGTTTTTTAACAACCTTTTTTATTAAACTGATGATGGAATGATACAATTCCGAAAAGATCTTCTTTATAATAAAAAATTTTAAGCTTTTAATAAGCGTTTTTATACCTTAATACACACGAACACCACGTGCTTTGTATTATTAATAATAAATGTTTTTGGTTATTTAATCAATGTAATTCTAAAATTTCCAATATAATGATGATTATATTTTTCTGATTATTACACCAAGTTGACGCCTATGAAAGATCGAGCAGTTCCGTATGGGTTTTGTATTATTAGCTGTGTTAGGAAAATCTGAACTATAAGGTTGATGTTCTGGAAATTTTAAATACAAGTGACGTCACTTTGTATAAATCGTGACGTGCAAGTGTTTTACTTTGAAAAATGGTATAGTAATGTAATATTAATGATCTTAGAACATGATAAAAACTTCAATTAAATTCAATGTTTTCTAGATATGTCACCCATTTCCCATTTTCAGTGAATTATTTATTTTTTAATTTAATTTATTTTTATAATAAATATTTACTTTTTTTTTTAGGGATATCTTAAGTCAAATTTCTAGTAAACAAAAATTAGCAGCAACCCTTCTTCCCATTCGTAGCGTCGGCGTTCAAGGTGATTGTCGATCTTATAACTATGTAGTAGGTATATCCGCCGATAAAGAACCCGATTGGGAAGATCTGGCTTTCTTATCCTCTCTTATACCAAGAATATGCCGAAATGTAAATAGGGTATGTTACATATTTGGGGGTATCGTGAAGGAGCCACTGCCAGATATCACACTTACTTATCTGACTACTCACGTTTTGGGTACTTTAAGGCAATGTGATGATGTCGCAACTACGGTAAGTTTGATTTTTTTATTCTTATTCCTTAAATTTATGAACTTAAAGAAATTCGTTATTCGAATTTACAAGATTTTATTTTTCGATAATGCACTGTCAGTCATTTGTAGGAGTAGAACTGGAATTTTTGGACCTGGTGGTAACATATATAACTTATATATTTTGTTATGCAATCTCCCGGGAGATTGTTTGAAAAGATAATAAATGGAAAAATACAATATGATGTAGGGCATCTAATTAGCGAAGAACAAAGTGAATTCATGCCTGGTAGATCTTGCACTGATAACTTGTTTATACTCCAACAATTAATAGAAAAAAAGAATAGCAGCCTAGAAAAGGCGTACGATATAGTTCCAAAACTTAAATTGTGGTATGCTTTGCAACAGCCCGGCATAGTCCACACCTTTTAGGAATAATCACAAAAGTATACAGGAATAACACTACTTACCTAAAAATCGGAAATAGACTATCAGAGCCAGTAAAAGTAACTAAAGGACTAGGACAAGGATGTAGTATGTCACCCTTACTGTTTAATTTATATATTGAGGCAGTCCTCCGAAATTAGAAAAACCAATGCCAGGGAATGGGAATCCCCATAGGAAATGACGTACTGTTCTCCCTGAACTTTGCTGATGACCAAGTCGTTCTAGCTCAAGAATCTTATAATCTAGAATTTATGATAAAGCGTCTATACAGAGAATATGTAAAATGGGGGTTACAAGACAGAATAAAGAAAACAGAATATTTAGTTATCAATTCAGATGCAAGATTTGAAGTGTTGATAGACGAGGACGTGGAAATCAAACAAGTGGAAAATTTTGAATATTTAGATGCACTCATTGATAAACACTCCTTACGGTGGGATCGCAACATTTCGAAAAGGAACAAAAAAATAATAGAGCAAACCATTATGTCCAAAAAGGCTGGAAAGAAAGACCAACGAATCTATAAGAAATGACATGAATGCTACAGAAACGGTGACTTGACAGAATAGAAAGAAAGGGTTTAAAATGGTTTGGACACCTATTGAGAATGCCTGACGAACGTTGGCCCCAAAATCTTCACCGATGGAAGCTTCCTATAAGAAGAAAAAGAGGTAGACCTCGACGCTCATGGAATGAAGGAATTAGAAGGTCGATGGAATCGAGAGGTTTGGGCATGCCTTGGACTGGGAGGGTTAGCGGAGGAGAACGTCCGAAATGTATTGTATTTCAAAGTTGGATCCTGTAATATATATATATATATATAATATTATATATATATATATATATATATATAAATATATATATATATATATATATATATATATATATATATATATAATATATTATGCTTACATAACTTAACTGGTCACGGGGCGTTATAACTGTAGCTATTTTCCACACTTCTTATCGTTTTTTGCTAATCATTACTTATGTTTGTAATACCACTTTAAGTGGTAAATTACCACTTCAACCATAACGTAAATAACAAAAAAGAATCATTAAATCCCTATATGATAGAGTTTGAAGCTCCCGCTCTAATGAAAATGCAAAAATGCATTTCAGGTAGAGAAAAACCTGCTAACAACCTGAACAAAGGTTCTGACTAAAAATGACTACTCACTGTCATTTATAAACAAGGAATTCCACAAGATTGAAGAAAGAAAACGACAAAACGCCACAAGCAATCCAGAAACACTCACAAAAAGGGAATCAAAGATGACAATAATACCATATGTAAAGGGGTTATCAGAAAAACTGAAGAGGATAAGAAACAAGTACAACATCACAGCCACATTCAAAACAACCAATACGTTGAGGTCCATTCTGTCCAAAACCAAACCCAACAACACATAAGAAAGATAAAAAACTGCATATATAAAATACCCTGTGAATGCAACAATTTTTACATGTTAGAAATAGCAAGACCACTCAATGTCAGTATACACGAGCATGAAACATACATTAAGAACAGAGACTTCGAGATATCCCAGATATGCAAACATGTCGGGGACAACGAGCACAGACCACAATGAAAAGATGCATCAATTATCATGAAAGAAACAGACATGAAAAAGAGAAAAATCAAAGAAGCAGCCCTCAACGTACTCAACGAAGAAAAATGTTTTAGCAAACACATCAGCAGAATGTAGCCTGCTTTAGTTGCCGATACTAAACTAAAGTCAACAACAAGAATATACCAACAATAGCCGACTAAGTGGAGATCACATCATCTACAATCTAACACACAACACATATGCAACACACAATACACATATAAATAAATCAATTATTTGCTCAATCACGTTACACAACCACAACTATGATATAATTAGACAAACATATAACATGGAACACACAAGAACAGTCAGAATTTGATATTCCTAGGGTAAAAACACCACACTAAACAAACTAACCCTAGAAAGCGACGATTTCAATGTGAAAATTAACGCGACTAAAACAAAGAAACCTATCATGGATACCGGTATGGGTTCCAGATCACTGTGGAATACATGACAATGAAAGAGCTGATGCACTTGTCAGAAGAGTATCAGCTACAAAGTATTTCGCTGTCAAAAAGCATCGTTTGCGATCGGAAAGATGCCTGGATCCGAAGGCAACACACTGGAAAAGTATACCTGGTCAAACAGCAAAATGAACCTGAAACAGTCAATCACCCATATTTGGCACGACTGCGAGGCATTATATTGCAGGCGGCAAACTCATGTTGGAGACTGCCAAGTAACTCCAAAAACATGTGGTACCCATCCACTAGACATGTACAAGCTGGTACAGGCTTCCAGGATTCTAGAATGGGTATCATGATTAAATGAAACATGCACAATAAGCCAACTGGTTGGAGTACGACCGATTTACAACAGACGGCTTCTAAAAAAACGGGTTATAGACAGAGGCCCCAGATTTCAGACAAACCAGGGACAAAATTCAAATATATGGGCTGCTGGATAACAAACGAAAATGCATATGCAGACCTAGAAATAAGAATAAGGATACAAATGTCAATAGCAAGATGAAGATATTGCTAAGAAACCACAGTCTCAGAATAACTATCAGGTTCACATTTTTCAAATGCTATACATACTGTCTTTTTATATGGAGTAAAGGCTTGGACTATGAAAGAAGACATTGCTAAAAAACTACAGTCTCACAATAACCATTAGGTTCAGATTTTTCAAATGCTATATGTACTCTGTCTTTTTATATGGAGTAAAGGCTTGGACCATAAAAGTAGATACAATGAACCGCCTTGAAACCTCCGAAATGTAGATATACTGACGTATGCTTAGAATATTCTGGGTAAATCACGTTACAAATGACGGAGTTTTGAAAATGACAAAAAGTCAGACGGCGTATTGAGATAGCTAGAAGTGCTTTTAATAAGATGAAAACAATATTATGCAATGGAAAACTCAACATTGAAATTAGAACTAGAGTATTGAGATGCTACGTGTTCTTCCTGTTGTATGGAGTTGAGGCCTGGACAATTACAGAGGCGACAGAGAAAAGACTCATTAACTTTGAAATGTGGAAAATATCTTGGATACAACACATAACAAATGCGGAAACGCTACGAAGAATGAAAAAAGATAAAGAAATACTCAACACTATAAAGAAAAGAAAAATGAGCTACTTTGGTCACATACTAAGGAACGAGAAATACGAATTGATGCGGCTGATCATACAAGGAAGGTGGAAGTGGGAAAACGTCAATAGAACTTTTCAGAACGGCTGCAGATAGAGTCAAATGGGCCATGATGATCGCCAATGTCCTTAGGGATGGGGCACGTTAAGAAGAAAAAGACCAAAAGCAGAGAACTGCTAAATTTAATCAAGATGAGGAAAACGACATATCTAAGACATATATCTTGACACCAGAGATGAGTTTCCAAAACTAATCATAGAAGGAAAAATAGAGGGCCGCAGAATTCACACAGTTCGCTGAAATTGTTGCCGATCTCCATTAATAGAAACGGCACTTACAGTAAGAGTTCAAGCCAGAATATTTAAGATACGTTTTAGACGTTTAAAATTAAACTTAATGTTAATTCACAATACCAGCGAGAAATAGTTGACTGGTGTAATGATAATCCTCTCCGAATATTGTAAAAAATTATTGCTCGAAAATGTTCTCGGTTGAGATAAATTTTTCGACCGACTTGCTAATTTCAAAAATTCACTGTATCTACACGACTTGTATCGTAATGAAGCTCCCGATTTATGTCGAACAAAAGATTGAGGTTACATTTATGTTGGAGAGTTTTATTGGTGGCGCCCTCTAAGCGGCTATATGAAAATTTTTTTTATAAAAGAAAGATGACAGTTATATGACGATGACGATCATTCATCGTCATATAACTGTCCTCTTTCTTTATAAAAAATTTCAATAATTTAACACACATTTCAAAATATATCTCTTCAATAAATATAAATAACTATATTTTAAATAATATAAAACATCACATTTTCTTGCAACAAACAATAACATATACCCTACTCCTACATCATCTGTTAATACCCGTCCCCTCAAGAAACTTCCTCCTAAGTTGTTAGACAGTTACAACTTTGACCGAAGATCACTTATTATTAGTAATAAAGGAAAGTTTGAACTATGAATCACCAACTACTATATAGTAATTCTTGTACCGGAATCATTTAATTTACTTTGTACCCCCGACCTGATGATGCTTTGCAAATTTTAGAAAGCGAAACCGGTCGTCTGAGGTAGTAAAATTAAACTGATTGTGAGTAAGTCTAATTATTTCTTTTTTACCTTTTTAAATTATATTTATGCAAGTAAATCACTATACATTTTCTTTTTCAGATACTACATAATAGCGGATACTCAGGATCAATTAGTCAAATGCCGATTGTGCTTATTCCTTTACACTTCGATAGGGATCAAGCGTTAAGAATTCCTTCGTGTCAAAGATCAGTGGTTTTGCGTCCTTTCTGTACCCAGGACTTCATGACTGGCGTACCAGCTATACCAGGAAAACAAATCCCTGTTGAGGTATGTAATGTAATTTAAAGGATCGACATGAACTGTACATTAAGTGTAATTTTAAATTAAATAATCCAGAGTTACACATTAATGCGATGTTTAACTTTTAAGTATTAATATAATAGAGGAACCCTTATTTAAACTATAAATACGATACGAATCACAATTAACAACTGTTTTCAGAATAAAATTATTTGTAAAGTAAAAAACGAGTGGGTAGAGTGGTATTGCAGCAAGCGTTTACAAAAAAAAACTAGATGTAGTATAGTTCTACCATCTTTCTAAGAGACTTATTAATATTCAGCTTAACCTGATGTTATTGTTCGAGTTGCGAAATTCCATAAACAAGGGATTGTTCCGTGGAACAGGTAGATCCGTTTTTATAGAATTTCACACCCCAAAAAAGTAGCACCTCGCTGAGCTGAATATTAATGAGTTTTATAAAGATGATAGTATCATCATCATCTTTTCATCATGCGGGGTCAGCATCCCTGATTACATTTCTCCATAAGTTTCTATCTTGGGTCATAACAATATTAATACCGTTTATTCGTCTTCCGGGTTTGGACCGTGTCATTTGTGAGTGACCCAAAAGTGGGTTCATCATGATGAATTCATCATGATTCATGATGAACCCACTTTTGGGTCACTCACAAATGACACGATCCAAACCCGGAAGACGAATAAACTATAATTCTGACTCTGGCCGTGGAAGCCTACGATTTCAATATTAATACCCTTTACCAACATGTCCTGCCTAAGCGTCACCCCCCCCCCTCAGGTCTTCTTTGGTCTTCCTCTCCTATTATTTCCAGGAACCCGTAGACCAGCAATTCTTCGTATTGGGTGATTAACGTCTTGACGTTGAACACGACCAAACCATCTTAAACTATGCTCTCTCATTTTGACAATTGGTGCACCCCTATACTTCCTCTAGTATACTCATTCCTAATTTTATCCTTTTTTGTCACTCCAGTCAAACTTCTAAGCATTCTCATTTCCGCCACATGCATTAGTTGTTCCTTTTTTTTAACTGCCCATCATTCAGTTACGTGCATCATAGCTGGTCTTATGGCTGTTTTATAGAATCTTCCCTTGATCTGAAGAGCTTGTGTTCACTGTTCCAGTTTTTGTTCTAAATCGCTTTTACTATTTCCTACTAACACTACATCATCAGCATACATTAAGCACCACAGACTATTACCCTGTAGTTTCGCTGTTATTTGATATCCATAACTAATGAGAATAAATATGGGCTAAGCACCGACCCTTTTTGCAATCCTACGCTCACATGAAATTTATTAGTCTCCCACACCTGTCCTAACACTAGTTGTTGTTACTCCCTCATACATGTCTCTCACAATCTTTACATATTCACTGGTATAATAATAGACATATATTATAATAGACGTATATATATATATATATATATATATATATATATATAATATATATATATATATATATATATATATATATATATATATATATATATATATATAACCAGTTATATTGGGTTTCATATTCCATGATTTCCCATATTCTTGTCGAAAGGGAAAGCTTTGCTTTGTTTATTATTCTTTCCAAATGGGCATTCAATGTATGCCGCTCATCTAATATTAGTCCTAGAGTCCTAGCCAGATTTGCACTTCTATTCCCTGTGCGTCAAGGAGCGATCAGGTCCTCCACCAGGAGTGGATGAGTGAAAGAGAGAAAGCACTCTCCCTGTATACACCCATTCTTCTTCAACGGTTTCGTATTCGTTTCTCTATTCTATTCGTTCTAATAACTTATCAGCTATTTATTTTAATTCCTGCTGAACTGGATTTCTTTAAAATGTATAATATATTTTTTCTTGTTGCCATATTTATTAATATCCAATCCATTAATATCCAAATTGACACAAAATCAGAACTAGCATCCACAAAGCTTTTACATGATTAACGAAGTATGAGGACAATTTACGTTTTACCTTTGGTTATATCCATGTTCTGTTAGGTATATTCTTATTCTGTTTTGAGAAGGTATCAGTGAGGAGATCACTCAAGATATGCCGTTATTTTATTGAACAGGGTAGAATGCAGAAGAGTACAAAGTTGGGTAAAATGAATCGGATTTTAAACCAAATTCATTATAAAGAAATTAGGTATCTTGCAAGAACCTGTTATATATGTATTGATGTTTGAACATCTTTACCATTTTTTGTTCATATTCAATTTTATACCAAATATATTTTATTAATGATAAAAAATGGGACACTGCATATATAAATCATAACTGTTACAAATAATACCTACAACTGAACTGAGTCACATTAAAAAATGTATGTTTAACATATATATTTGTTGCAGGTGGTTCAAAAAATGGTACAGGAAGTGGTGCAAGTACCGGGTATTTCTAGAGTGCTTTACGATTTAACACCAAAACCCCCAGGAACGACAGAATGGGAATGACACTCACTAATTGTAATTATTTTTTGTGAAGTAATATAATTTGTTAAGACAAATTGTTTGCGAATAATTTTTCCGTTTTATTGTTCGTGTTTTTTTATTTAAGGTTTATTAAACCTCCTAGTTTCTATTACAAACGGTTGTTTTAATGACGTGAAGCCTAATATATTTTCCCTTACTAGCATTTTCCTTTATAATCCTTTTGGTATAAGATTTGTTGAAGTACATATCGATGGTCTGGTTCCAAAAGGGCTAACTACAAAATCGTCGTTTTGATTAAACGAAATTTTAAGTTTAACCCTGTTGGATCAAATCTGGTCTTTCAAATCGAATTATTGTTTCTCTATAAAATATTAGGCAGTAATACTGACAAAACACTTTAGATATAAGAATAATAAATAGTTCTTTAAATTATTCGTCTGGGGAGGGTTTTTCGTGGCACGTAGCTACATTTGGAAAACTTTATTTTAAATTGAAAAATGAATACTGGTTTGGTTACCTATTGAGAATGCCTGACGAACGTTGGCTCCAAAAACTTCACAGATGGAGGCCCCCTGGAAAAAAAGGTAGACCTTGACGCTCATGGAATGAAGGAATTTGAAGAGCAATGGAAACGAGAGGTTTGGAGGAGGAGCATGCCTTGGACCGGGAGGATTGGCGGAGGAGAACGAGAATACGGCGATAGCCGTCTTCAAAATGTATTGTATTTACAAGTTGGATCCTGTAATATATACTCATGGACAAATATATTGAATATTTTGGAATTTTTCAATTCTTTTTGTGTATTCACTATTATTTCAAAATAATTTTATGATATACTCAATTAGTTTGAAATATTTTGAGTTTTATTTTGACGTTTATTCAGCGTTTAGTGTCATTCGTGTATTTTATCATAAAAAACCTTATTCACATAAAGGAAATAAAAGGTAAAAAATCAGAGTAATTCGGTTATTTTTAGTTTAATCTATTAGGTTTAATTAAAAATTGTTTTGATCCAACTAAGTTTAAAACAAATATGTCACCAATTCGACACTGTGATGAAGCCCAAACACCACAGATTGTAATTTTGTACGAGGAAGGATATACACAAAAAAATATCGCACGGCGTCTCAGAAGTTAATCTACAGTTTCGAATATTTTAAAAAGGTACCATGAAAGAGGCAATTTTATGGTTCCTATTTCTACAAGAAATCACTCATAACTAAACAATATTACCTAACCGAAAATGAGTTCTGCGTATTCTCATTGTTAGGTATATAATCCTTATCACGATCACTGTAGTCAGAATCAGTTACCTCTTTCCTAGGTTGTTCTATACGTTGTTCTAGAACAACAAAAGTATTAACAGTTAATGCTGAATACCTATTTTCACCATAGACAATCAAAAAATTATTCAAAATAATTTAAAAACTATTTAGGGCACTTTTTCTTTTCTTTGAATTAGAATTTTTTACGGACCACGGTAAATTATTTTAAAGATTGAGGTTCGTATTCAGTTCATTGTTTCCTATATTTCCCTATGCGTTTCTTTAATTAAATTTGCTAAGGGAACATAAAAATACAAACCATAAAAGGTACGCCGCTGTAGAAATGTAGTAAAGTAATATAGAAGTTTCATTATTACCTAAAACCCCCTTTAGTCCTAAGTTTAATATTTTTTCGGCTCTGGAACTCATTTTACAATAACACTAAAATATACCTGAAATGGGTAGATATAAATATGTTTGTAAGTACAACAAACACTGATAATAATAATTAAATTTAAATATAGGTTATAATCATGGTACAATGATTGTACAATGCTACAGCCCTATCTGAACAGTCAGCTTAAGCCTCCGAACCGACATCAAGATCGTGCAGCCCCTATCGGAGGTTAGATTCACTTAAGGTACCATTATGCGAAATGAATCCAGATATGCTCTCCTTCAAGCCATCTTGCAAGGAAAAATATTTGGAAAGAGAGGTCCCCGAAGAAGAACATCTTAGTTAAAGAACTTCAGAATCTGGTTCAATACAACATCTGTGCAGCTTTTCCGCGCTGCTGCAAATAAGATAAAGATTGCCATGATGATTGCCAACATTCGTAACGGATAGGCACATCAAGAAGAAGAAGCTACTAAAAACACTGAAGCAAGAACTTTTTCAGCATATTTTTAAATACGACCTTTCTTAGGCATTGGAGAAACAAAATGTCTCCATTCCATCGACTGCTGCTTTGTTTCTGGGCGCTAGAAAGGTATCCAAGTTTCATCTTTTTTTTCCAAACCCAAGTTTTCACAACACGGCTTAAGAAGTTTGAATTTTTTTCAGCACAGATCAAACGCTTGCAAGCTTCTGATCAACATTCAGACATTTTGAATCCATTTTGCAGAAATTTTTCTTATTTCCAAATCGACGTTAACTATATGATGAACGCGTTCATACTAACCATGGGTAACACACTAAATTAGTGGGTGTTGACACAGCAACACTGGCCCAGCTTATCGTATTAACTCAGTGTGTTAACACTATTATGTCATATAACACAGTAAGCCATTGACACTACTTGAAAGTTTGAAACCTTCCCTAATGCGTATGTCGTCAGTAGATAGTTATTGTAAACACAGATGTTATTCTTTTATTTTGACGAATACCATTAAATATTTTTGAATATATAAAAATATTCTATATACTATAAATTGTATTTGTTACCTATTATAGGATTCTATAATAAAAATTTAAGATCATTAAAAAGAGTAAAACATTGAATTTAATTATTTTCTCATTTAAGGAATAGAAGCAATTATTAGAAGTAGCTATTTTAGGAGTTGTTAAATACTGTTTCATATTATGTATAAATAGGGAATTTACGGACAATGCATTATTAGGGAATAGTGCATATCGTTCTCAACTACCATTGTAGAATCTTCAGACAGCAGTTCGAAGTGCTGTATAATCTATCACAAATTGCGTCAAGAATTGTGAATGACAGAGCTTTTGGTATTTTCAAGAGATTTACTTACAATTTTAACACGTGGAATGAGATGTAAGTTACCTTTTGTTCAAAGAATAATACCTAACATGTTGCTCAGTTTTACATAACATTGTAGCATTGTAGTTAATAGAGGAAATACTGGAAAATGAGAGAGCTGTTGATATGTGAGTGTAGTACTTTTGATTAAAAACCTTTCATTTATAAATACTGATCTACACTCAGGTGCAAAAAAATCGATCCATTCCTTATTTCTTATTTATTTGAAGTTGTATAATTTTAGAGATATTAAATTACCTATGTAAATTTAGGTGTACCCTCGTATACGAGAAATTAAAAGAGTCTGAAGCAAGTAGATATTTATTGAATGTTGTTTTTAATTCAACAACCGTACTAATGTAGTGATTTTATTTCCAAAACGTGTTATATTTTCATTTAATTATCCTTCCTAAATGTCTCTAACTCCGACAGATGCTGCAAGGGCGGTGACTTTAGTTCAAGATGGTCGTAGCCAATATTATGCAGCTGAAATGTTGGGTGTTAGTCGATCTTCTGTTCAAAGAGCAGTTCGGCGTTTTAGCGACACCAGTAACTTCACAAGAAGGCCAGGATCATATCGTAAAAGGGTAACATCCGAAAGAGATTTTGAGAAATCGGCATCTAACTTCAGTTGAACTGGCAAAGCGTCTTAGCGAAGTGAGAAATGTGGATGTAAGCAGATGGACAGTTCGTCGACGACTTGTAGAAGGTAATTTATTATGAAGAAGCCCAGCCCTATCTCCAATACTATCCATAGAACATCGCAGAGCTCGTCTTGCTTTTGCAAGAGAACATGAAATCTGGAGTGATGCATATTGGAGCAATGTATTGTTCTCAGATGAGTCCAGATTTTGTCTAAGGTCACCAGACGGCCGAGAAAGGGTTTGGAGAAGACACGGAGAGCGATATTTTCAATGTAATATTGCGGAAAGAATAAGTTATCGGGGGGCTCCGTTATGGTTTGGGTTGGTATCAGTTCAGAAGCCCATACTGATTTAGTTATTGTAGATAGAGGATCTATGACTGCTGCAAGATACATAACAAATATTTTAGATCAGCATGTGGTACTTTTTGCTCCTTTCATTGGACCTAATTTTATTTTCATGGACGACAACGCGCGTCCTCACCGTGCTAGAATCGTCAACCAATATATAGAGGAGGTGGGAATGGGAATTGTCCGTATGAACTGGCCAGCTTGCAGTCCCGATCTCAATCCCATATAACATATATGGGATATGATGGGAAGACGTCTTCGAGCACGAGTACCTCGTCCAAACAACTTGGCTGACCTTACAGCGGCTCTTCAAGAAATATGGGACCAATTGGATCAATTTGATATCCAGAGGATAATTACCTCAATGCCTAGACGTGTACAGGCTGTTATAAGGGCCCGAGGGAGAAACACTAGATATTGATTTATTATCAATGTTTTTCTTAATTTCAGAAAGTTTTGAATATTCTTGTATTTTTTATTTTTGGCTTGTCTCTATAAATAAATGATTTTTTTGGATAATCTGTAAAAAATATTTTAATCTAACATATACTTTTACATATCGATGGCGTCACGACAAAAAGGCATAAGTGCCAAAATTTCTAAATTTATTTTTTGGTATCAAAATAAAATACATTTTACGTCCTATCTACTATTAAAAAGACGCAGCTGTAAAAAAATTCCAACTGAACTAAAACAAGCTTTGAATTTGCTAACCGCCAAACGAGTTTCTTAAAAGATGAGACACCGAAATCAGTAAGCGAAAAGATCCGTAGTAGAAGATGGTGCTTACGATTTGGGTCTGAAAACGTGGTTATATCAATAAGGTAAACTTCTTCTTCTTTGGGTGCCGTGTCCGTATTCAGACGTTGGCCGTCACCATGTTTACAATTTCCTGAAACCTTTCTCTGTCGGCTGCTGCGCGAAATAATTCTTCTACTGTGGAACCACACCATTGTCTAATATTACGCAGCCATGAAAGTTTCTTTCGACCAATCCATCTCTTTCCTTTCATCAATAAGGTAAACAATAATTTGAAATACTAATTTAATTTAATGTTTTGTTAAGCGTTTAGTTAGATTATTTATCTTTAGAAATCATAATAAACCATAAGAATATACAATTTTACCGACTG